ACTGAAATGAGCCTGTCTGCTTGAAGGATGGGTGTGAAAATGAAGCAGAAGCCACATTTTGGCTTTGAAGACAGACCAAATTCACACAGGAATAGCAGGATCTGTGTGACATAATGCAGCCTCACATTGCCTGCAGCAGCGGCTTTCAGGCTCTCCAGCAAGAAAAGCAAATTCTGTGAAGAGGAGAGCTCACACCATTGTTGCTTGCTGGAGCATTTCAGAGCAGGGAGAATTCCCACATGTCCACACCCCACAAAGATTCTAAAGAGGATGGCTTTACACACCTATTCTCTCTCTCTCTCTTACACATGCACACTGAGGAAGGGAAGAAGGAAGAGAGGGAGGGAGGAAGGGACAGATGGAGGGGTGAAATTTCTAGCCTTCTCTTATTTACAGGATTTCCCAAGACCCCAAATGCTGCTAGGAAGCTAGGATAAGAACACTCCCAGGGCTGGAGAGATGGCACAGCAGTTAAAAACATTGGCTGCCCTTCCAGAGGACCCTGGATTCAATTCCCAGGAAGCACATGGCAGCTCACAACTGTCTGTAACTCCAGTTCCAGGGGATCTGACATCCTCACACAGACATACATGCAGGCAAAACACCAATCCACATAAAACAAAATTAAAAGAGCAACATCCCCATCCCAGCTTTCCCACATACCTGATCAAATGATGGCAAAACATTATGGGCTCATGGTCTCGTTCTCAAAATACCTTATTGCTCTGAACTTACCCTATATGTGGTAAGAGTTGCTATTCTATATACTATGTTGACAAGGTGACTGAACGACACAGGCACTGTGACTAGACATCAGACACCTATTTAAGAGCTGTTAAATGCAGCACTGCATACTGTACTTGACACCTGAGATATCTGCTAATGGGGATTCACAATAAGAGGGTGGTATCATCTACAGCATGGGCATGCTGTGGATATGCTGACAAAGACCAGCAAGGGAAGGAAGGAACAGAATGCACAATTTCAAACCTAAGAACCAGCCAGGTGTGGTGCCACATACCTCTCACCCCAGCACTTTCTAAAAGAACTCAATTACACTTTTAGTTTTTTATAGAAAAGGGCGGGTTGGAGAGATGACTCAGAGGTTAAGAGCACTGGCTGCTCTTCCAGAGCTCCTGAGTTTTCAATTCCCAGCAACCACATGGTGGCTCACAACCATCTGTAGTGGGATCTAATGTCCTCTTCTGACATAAGGTCATACATGCAGATAGAGCACTCATATATACATAAAATAAATAAATAACTCTTTAAGAAAAGTCTTATTAGGGCTGGAGAGATGGCTCAGTGGTTAAGAGTACCGACTGCTCTTCCAGAGGTCCTGAGTTCAATTCCCAGCAACCACATGGTGGCTCACTACCATCTGTAATGAGATCTGGCGCCCTCTTCTGTACACATAATAAATAAATAAATCTTAAAAATAAATAAATAAATAAATAAAGGGGGAGATTTAAAAAAAAAGTCTTATTAAAAAACAAATAAAGGAAGAAAGAAAAGGGCATCTTGTCCTGTGGCTCAGGCTAGCTTGGAATTCCTGGGCTGGCTGAAACCCGTTTCAGGGCTCTGAGACTACACGTCTGTGTGTGATTCATGCTATGATTCTTTACTGAGTGGGTCCAAGAGAGGAAAGTTCATGGCTGTGCTTTGGGGAAGGGCAGTAAGAATAAATTAAGGAGTCAGTGATACAGCATGGCAGCAGAGAGTGGCTTATGTACAGCGTCCGAGGGTCACTCCAAGGACAAAAAAAGGGGGGGCTATACATGCCACTTTAAATGAAACTCCTCAGATTTTGAATGGAGGAGCAGCTGAGATTAACAAGGTTTTCCAAGTATTGAGCTGGGGTGACCTGTGAAGGGCAACATGTAGTTCTGTGGGAGACCTCACAGGAGTCAGGTTTCTGTTCCATCAAGGAAAAGCACTTCACAAGGGTAAGGGTTTCAGTTACTGGTCTCCAAGCCAAGGGCTAAGGGAGAGCAACTGCAGCACACGGCTGAGTGGGTGAAATACGAGGACACACCGACACCCAAGGAAACAAGAGTGAGAGAGGTGGTGGGATTAGCTGCCCTGAGTAAGAAAGAAAAGAGTTTCCAGCAGTAAAAACAACGACAGCATGGAACTTGCAGGCAAATGGATGGAACTAGAAAATGCCATCCCGAGTGCGGTAACCCAGACCCAGAAGGACAAACATGGTATGTACTCACTCACAAGTGGATACTACATGTAAAGAAAAGAACAATCAGATTGCAACTCACAGAACCAGGGAGACTACCTAACAGGGGGACCCGAGGATGACTGTGGCTTATAATAAGTTTTGGATTTACTCAATCACTGGGCAAGCCTCAGTGAAACATTTCACTATTAGAATAAGAATTTGTACTGTATCAAGCTGATAATAGACAAAACACAAACATACATACATATATACACACAGAAAGAAAAAAGGAAGGAAGGAAGGAAGGAAGGAAGGAAGGGAGGAAGGAAGGAAGGAAGAAAGAAAGAAAGAAAGAAAGAAAGAAAGAAAGAAAGAAAGAAAGAAAGAAAGAAAGTTAGTTAGTTTCAGAAGCAGGCAGGCCCTGGCAGCCTCCAGCCTGCGCCTACACTGAAGCCTGGCACTTGGCAGGGTCACCTCACTCCCTACTGCCCTGGCCTCTCCAATCCACTGCTGGCCACGGCACTCCTTGTTATTGACCTGAAGCCGAGTGGGTTCACTAGCTCACACCATTCAAATGTCACTCATCCAAATAACAGACTCTCTCATCCCCACTGTCCCAATTAGCCCGACATCAACTCTATGCCTTCCTGTGGTCCAGTGTCCACAACTCTTATACAACAGCTTTACTGACTGCTAGTCTAACTAAAAAAAAGCTTCCATGGGTAGGGATTGTTCCAGTCAGCTAATACCCAGAGTCCAAAACAGGCTTGACATTCAGTGGGAGGGGAATTCATCTCCTTGATGAAGGAAAGAAAAAGCAAAACAACAACAACAAAACCCAACTTTACTAACACAATAATGATATCTTGTTCTAGTCCCGGAACTGATGATCACTAAACTGAGGGGACTAGAGAGATGGCTCAGCAGTTAAGAGCACATACTGCTCTGCACAGGACCCAAGTTCTGTTCCCAGCACCTCCATAGGGCAGCTCACATATGATTCTGACTCTAACTCTAGCTCCCGGGGACTCAAGGCCTCTGACCTCAATGGGCACAACATTTATGTGCATATACCCACACACATAACTGAAAATAATTAACTCTTTATAAAATCCACAAAGTTGAGCCCAGCTTTCGTTTTTTAATTGCTGTTTTCATCACCATCATTGGTTCTTTTTGAGCAGGGTCTTCTATGTAGTCCCAGATGTTCTGCAGTACTCACAGAGATTCGGCCCATCTCCTGAGTGTTGGGATTAGAGGCATCTACCACCACACCCAACTCTTCATTTTATTTTTAAAATTAATTATTATTTGTGTGTGTGTATATGATGTATATGAGTGCAGGCACATGTTGAGGTCAGAAGACAACATTTGGGAATCAGTTCTCACCTTTGACTGGGTTCTAAAGATTGAACTCAGGTTATCATACCTTTGTCCACCGAGTCATCTAGCCAGACCTAACTTTCTTTCTTTGAGACATTTTTGCTATGTAGCCCAGGCTAGTCTTGTGTTTATTATCTTCTTTCCTCTGATGTGATGAGTGCTCACATCACAGACATCCCAAAAGTAAGACTTTTGCCCAAAAAACCAAAACCAAAACCTCACAGGGTGATCTTTGTTAATCACGTCACCTGGCTAAGCCTGAGTGGTCTCACTCTGGAAATAAGGAAGCTGGTGGTCGGTGAGGATCAGAAGTGCTAACTCTGCACAGCCTGGAACAAGGATTTCATCCCTCCTGAAGTTTTCTTAGACAGACCACGGGTCAGTGCATTTAAACCTCTGAGACGACTCAAGGAGCTCCTCCAGTCAGAACAGACAGGTAATCGGCAAAAAGGAGGTGGAGGTGTGGAAGGGACAGCGTTTGGATGAGAAGAGACAAGTCTGCACTCAGAGTTACGGAGGGGAGGAACGACAGCTACTTCTTTAGAGTCTGTGAGTGGGGATTCCTTCAAAGACGGGCCAGTACGCGGTGGGCGAAGGCGGCACCGACCTCCAGACCCCCGTGGAGCAACTGACCCTGGGACCACAGACCACCCATGTTCACCCAGGCTCTGCGTCTCACCTTCCCCATAACCTCAGCACAAAGGACAGAGACCCGAGGCGCAGACCCCGAGTGTCCGACCGCCAGGTCCAGGGCCGACCGCTCCCCGATTTCCCGAGACCTCACTTGCACGTCTCTGGGTGTCCGGCTCTCGCCCTGCTCCTCTGCAGGCTGACGCTCGGGGCCGCGGCCCTCCAACCGTGCGGTCCCCGAGGCGGGTCTGCTGTGGCTAAGGGACAGCTCTGCCAGCTCCCGGACGGGAGGGCGTGGCAGGGCCGTGTCTGTCACCACAGGTGAGGGCGAGGCCCTCGGGAGCCCCCAACGCGATGGCGGCGGGGAGGGTCGCGCCCCAGCACCCCGTGGCCCGGCCGCCCGCCCGCCCGGCCGCTCACCGCTTTCTCCAAATGGCTGCGCGCCTGCTCGCTGTTCTTGGTGTGGTGGTAAAGCACCGAGCCGAGCTGCAGGTGCGTACGGGCCTCGATTCGCTGAGGCGGCTTGAAGGGAAACACGGCCTGCAGGCAGTGGACGCACAGGCGGATCTTGGGCGGACTGGACGTGCGGAAGTGCTCGGCGAAGCCCAGGAGAGCCAGATACCACGACTCCGCCGCCTCGGCCTGCGCCGCCTGCGCCGCGGCCGCCTGCGCCGCCGCCGCTGCCTGCGCCGCCGCCGCCGCCTGTGCCGCCATCTTGGCCCGCACAACAACAAGCCGCCTCCACAGAGAGGCGGAAGCACCGCGGGGGGCGGGGCCCGGCGCTCCTGGTGGCTCTCGCGAGAACCGCTGCGCAAGGTCTCCTGGGACTTAGAGTGTCTATTCGCAGTGAGTGCGACTGAGGGAGAGTGTGAGGAGAGGCCGACGCCTCTGCATCGCCGCAGCGGAGACGGACACACCTTCGGGGGCTGACGCCGGCGTTTCTGTGGAGGAGACTGTGGACGTCCTGGAAGGGGTTGGACGGGATTGACGGAGGAAGACTACATTTCCCATCAGACCAAGCGCACGCCAACGCAGGCTCCCTCCTCCCGGGTGGCGCCGGAGCATTGTGGGATTGGATGAGTCTCAAGATGGACAACCGGGATGCTGCAGGTAACAGCCCCCGCCTCCCCTCCGGCGCCCTCCTGGGTGCTCGCGACTGCACAGTCCCCTTCACCCTCCTTTCTGTCGCGGACCCGACGCGCGGGCTCCCTGCCTCAGCCCCTCGGCAACCTTCAGTAACGGCGTGTGCAGCGCCCTCGCCTCCCGAGACCCCCGGCTCGGGTTGCTGGCCGCCCCCGCCCGGGGCCGAGAACACCGTGGCTTCCCCAAAGCCCTGGGCGCCGAGTGGGCCCCGCGCGGGCCTCCCCAGTGAACTGCCCTCAGGCCGGCGCCACCCACAGCGGCCACCGGGACTGCCCTGCTGCCTCGCCAGGTCCCTTCCAGGTGGCAGCTGCCTTTGGCTTGGGTCCCGCTTTGTGGGGAAAAAAAAATCTGCGTTTCAGAACTGCACTGGTGCAGCCAGAGCACGATTTCCCACGGCCACCGAGCCCCACTTTGACACGGGGTTAGGTATCCCAATGCCTCTAGGATGGGATGCGTTCGTCCATTCACCATATGCTTCCACGATTCCTGTGTCCCAAGTAACTGGCAGCAAATTTTGCATAGTTCTGGTGACTGAGGTCTGGGTTGGGTCTGCTAATATATTGAAGACCAGGGAAGGCTCTAAATTTTATTTACTTGTTTGTGTTTATTTCTGTGCGTGTGAGTACGCGTGTGTGTTCCCACGGAGGCCAGGGAGAATTTCGGATCCCCTGGAACTGGTGCTGTAGTAAGCCAACTGGATGTTTGCTGGCACCTCAGCTTGGGTCCCCTGCAACAGTAGCAAGCGCTCTTAACCTCTGAGCCATCTCTCCAACTCCATGAAAGGCCTTTCTTGAGCTCAAGATGTTTGAAATGAGTAGATGCCATCTGTGGGAAGGCAGAGGTTTCCCCCTGTAGAGGTTGGACAGGCCTTGGAGTGGACTGGGATTGTCCCTTTGGTGATTGTCATGAATGAAGTGGAGATAATTAGGGAAGCCAGCTCTGATAATGCCTGGGGGGTCAGCTTGCTTTTAACATTTAGAATTTAAGGGCTGTTGAAACATCTCAGTGGTTAAAATGCTTGCTGCTCAATTATGAGGACCAGGCTTCCCATCTCCAGCAAAATCCAGATACGATGTTGTTTGTCTGTAACTACAGCACCGTGAGTTGGAAACAGATGGATTTCTGGGGCTTAGTGGCAACGGTCTAGCTGAAACAGGGAACTCACCTGTGAACTCTTCTGTCCCAAAATATTAGGCAGTCAGGAACAGTGGTGGACCTCTGAATTCCAGACCAGCCAGGGCTACATAAACTGAGACCCTGTCTTTAAATGGCGGGATGGCACATGCTTTTGATCTGCGCTGGGGAGTTAGAGGCAGGAGGCTTGTTTCAAGTGGAAGCCTGTCTGGTCTATAGAGGAAGGAAATAGAGGGCTGGTGAGATGGCTCAGCAGTTAAGAGTGCATGTTGGGCCAGGTGGTGGTGTTACAATGCCATTAGTCCCAGCACTCAGGAGGCAGAGGCAGGTGGATCTCCATGAGTTCAAGGCCAGCCTGGTCTACAGAGGTAGTGCTAGGACAGCCAAGGCTACACAAAACCATCTTGAAAAACTTAAAAAATGCTTGTTCTTGCAGATGACCCCTGTCTGATTCCTGGAATCCATAAGTTGGCTCATAATCCTTCATAACCCTCAGGCACTCAGGTGGTACATATTCATACACATAAAACAAATCTAAAAAAGATCTTTTCTTTTTTTTTTTTTTTTTTGGCTTTTCGAGACAGGGTTTCTCTGTGTAGCTTTGGAGCCTGTCCTGAACCTCACTCAGTATCTCAGGCTGGCCTCGAACTCACAGAGATCCGCCTGGCTCTGCCTCCCGAGTGCTGGGATTAAAGGCGTGCGCCGCCGCCACCACCGCCCCCCAGCCTTTTTTTTTTTTTTTTTTTTGAGACAGGATTTCTCTGTGTAGTTCTAGCTCTCCTAGGCTGGCCTTGAACTCAAAAAAAAAATTTTTTTTTTAATTAGGAAAAAAAATGAAATTTTTCCTGAGAACCCTTGGGCTACAACTCTTACTTATTTTTGTTTTGAGACAGCGTCTCTTTACATAGCTGTGGCTGGTCCTGAACTCACAGAACTCTTAAATCCCAGTCCTGGGATTTAAAGGCTGTGCTACTACACCCAGCTACAATCCTACTTTATTGAGGCAAAGTCTGGCTCAGCCCCTGCTTGTGTAGAAAGCGTGTTCCTCCTGCCGTAGCCTCCTGACTTTGGACGGCACTTTTATCTTTGCTCTAACCCTCAGTAATTGTCTTGGTCATCTTTCTGTCTGTGCACTTTCTCTATGTCAGAATGATCACCCTGTCCTCAAGGTCATACTAAAACTAAAAACAAAAACTGGAGTTGGCTGAGGGGACCCACACTTGTTACATAACACTTCGAAGCAGTGGTTCTCAACCCTCCTCATGCTGCGACCCTTTAATACAGTTCCTCATGTTATGGTGACCCCAACTATAAAATTATTATGTTGTTACTTCATAACTATAATTCTGCTACTGTTATGAATCATAATGTAAATATCTGATATGCGGGCTGGAGAGATGTTCTTCCAGAGGACCTGAGTTCAATTCCCAGCACCCACATGGTGACTCACAGCCATCTGTAATAAGATCTGGTGCCCTCTTCTGGCCTGCAGGCATTCATGCAGGCAGAACACTGTATACATAATAAATAAATAAATCTTTAAAAAAAAAATATCTGATATGCAGCCCCTGAAAACGGATTGTTCGGCCACCAAAGGGGTCGTAGCCCACAGGTTGAGAACCATTGCTCTGGGGGCACAGCTAGGGCCGTGTGAGATCTAAGTAAGTAAATGTAAATAAAAGGCCTGCTGAGGGGTGAATCCCTGGGGACCTGAGCTCGATGCCCAGAACTCAGGAAAACCTTACAACACTTCGGGAATCCTAATGCTCCTGTCACCAGAGGAGATAGGAGGCAAAGCTAGGATGCGCCCTGGAGTCTTGCCGGGCACCTAGCCTGGAATGCACAGCTATGAGCATCAAGAGCCTGTGTCTCAAGGTGAAGACAGGAACTAGCACCCCATTTTGTTCTTTGACCATGTGTGGGGCCGTGGAACACACATGCCCATGCGCACACACGTAAGAAATTAAACAAATGAAAAGTTTTGTTGGATCTTGTTACTTGTTCACCAAATACTACCTCATGAATTCCCAAAGCCCTAAAAGTAACAGCTACGACCCTTGCCACACTTGCCTCTGCCCACTCCTTAGTGGTTCCTCTGGCCCCACTGGGTAGGTTTTGTTTTTTGTTTTTTTTATTGTCTTCCCATGGACACTGCATCTAACTGTCTCTGGTTTTGACATCTGCTCCTTCTCTCCTTGATCCCCATTCACGTGGTTCTTCCTGACCCTGGTTCCTGATAAGTTCATTTCCAGCTGAACTGGTTATTTTTAGACTCTCTTACCAGTATAGGCACTGTTCTGTTACCTCTTGTGTTTCTAGCTTAGTTCTTACCATAATTTGAATTAATTTCTTTCCTTTTTCTTTTGGTTTTTTTTGAGACAGAGTTTCTCTGTGAAACAGTCCTGGCTGTCCTGGAACTCACTTTGTAGACCAAGCAGGCCTCGAACTCACTGAGATTCGCCTGCCCCTGCCTTCCAAGTGCTGGAATTAAAGGCATGTGCCAGCATCACCCTGTACCTTTTTTTTTTTTTTTTTTTAATTAAATTTAATATATTGGGCTGGGGAAATGGCTCAGTGGACAAAGTCCTCCGCTGCCAACCATGATCATCTGAGTTTTCATTCCTGGACTCACATAGTGTAAGTAAAGAACTGGATCATGGCAAGAGGGAATCTCAGCCAGTGAACCAATTTCCAGACTTGAGATAGTTTTCAGATCCAGAACCCCTTGAATGATGGGACAACCAGGTTTCCCTCAGGAAGGGCCTTGGTAAAATACCTAAGAGTTTACCGTTAGTTTTTCTCCCATCCTTCCCCCAGAGGGACCTACAGCTTTTACAAGGGTAACTGTGCACTGGGGGAAAGGGAACAATCAGAACAATCCAATGTCTGTTTGGATTATCCAGGGTCTACTGGTTCTGAATTGACACTGATTCCCAGAGATCCCCCAAAATACTGTGGCCCTCCAGTTAAAGTAGGGGCTTATGAAGGTCAGGTGATTAATCGAGTTTTGGCTGAAGTCTGACTTACGGTAGGTCCAGTGGTAGGTCCAGTGGATCTCTGAACTCATCCTGTGGTTATTTCCCCAGTCCCAGAATGTATAATTGGGGTAGATATACTTAGAAGTTGACAGAATTCCCAATTGGTTCCTGAGAATACTGCATGTTGTCCTTTGTCCAACCTTTCCACATCATCCCCACGCTGCACAGTTAAAAAAGAAACAACACACACACACATATATTGCACACTGTGCAATTGTGAAAAATCACAGGACAACTTTTTTTCCTTGAGACAAGGTCTCAAGTACACCAGGCTGGTCTAGAAGTCATTGTATATAAGAGGATGACCTTGAGCTTCTTTGAATTACGTGTTTTGTGTGAATACCTGGGTGTACTGTATGTATGTGCAACCTTTTGCTTAAAATGTCCACAGAGGCTAAAAGAGGGATCCCCTGGAACTGGAGTTACAAATGTTTGTGAGTCTCCATATGGTTACTGGAACTAAACCTGGGTTTAGCAACCAGTACTCTTAACTGCTAAGCCGTCGTTCCAGCCCCAGTCTTGAACTTCTGTTCTGCTGAGGTCATAGACGTGCACCAGTACACCTGGTTCATGCACTGTGAGAACGGCACCCAAGCATTCATGCTCAGCACACAGTCCACCAACTGAGCTGTGTTCCCAGCCTTGCAGCAGTGTCTTACTGTGTAGGTAAGACTGGCCTTCTGCCTCAGCCTACTACCAACCTTGCAGCTAACTTTTCATGTTAATGTGCCTCTTGCCTTCTCAGTCAGAGGTGAGTCCCACCTGGACAGAATCCTCATAGCTTCTGTTTAGAGCCTAGCACAGTGCTATGTACATGGCAGACATTCTGTAAGCATTTGTTGAAGAACTGAACAAATGACCAGTTGAGTCCTCTGAATATCTGTAGCTGTCTGGCCCATCATTGCTGTTAAGCATACTGATGGAGCGAAGGTGTTTTCTGATCCCCGTCTTTTCCCTCCCCAGGAAAGGCTAATCGGTGGTTTGGGATGGCACAGCCCAAGTCTGGAAAGATGAATATGAACATCCTCCACCAGGAAGAGCTCATCGCTCAGAAGAAGCGAGAGATCGAAGCCAGAATGGAACAGAAGGCCAGGCAGAGTCATGCAGCCAGCCCACAGCCCCCTCATCCTGGGGAGTAAGTGGATTCTGAGGCCTTAGGGCAGCAGAGTCTCAGAGGACAGGACACAGGACGGTGTGACAGTAGAAGTGGGGCTGGTGTGAGAGGCTCCAGTGTGGAGGAGTGCTTACCTGTTCACCCAGAGCTTGGGAGGGAAAGGCAGGAACATCCCCAATTGAGGGTCATTCATGGCTACGTGTTAAGTTCAAGGCCAACCTGGTTTGTATGAGAACTTGTTTCAGAACACAAAAACCCTCTTGATCCTGTGTGCTTGGATTGCAGGCCTCTGTGCCTTGCATTGCTATTGTCACCATAGTCCATTGGAGGAGTGCTCACCTAACCTGTCACCATAGTCCATTGGAGGAGTGCTCACCTAGCCTGTCACCATAGTCCATTGGAGGAGTGCTCACCTAGCCTGTCACCATAGTCCATTGG